GGTTGGGGGGTTGGGAGGGCTGGTGGTGGGTATTAAGGAGGGCACGTATTGCATGGAGCACTGGGTGTGGTGCCTAAACAATGAATCCTGGAACACTGAAAAAATAAAATAAAATTTAAAAAAAAAAGAAAATGAGGCATACCATGGACTTGGAGAAAACAGTGACAATATGCATATCTGAAAAAGGATTTGCATCCAGAATACATAAAAAACTCATTAAATCGAGAAGACAAAATAACCCTACTTTTACAATGGAAAAATATTTATACAGACACTTCACTAAAGAACATATGTGAATGGGCCAGTAAGCACACAAAAAGAAGCTCAACATCTCAAGTCAACAGAGAAATGCAAATTAAAAACCACAATGAGATGCCACTACATACCTAATAGAATGGCTAGAATTAAAAAGATTGACCATATCAAATTCTGGCAAGAATACTGTGCAACTGGAACTCTCACAAATTGCTAGGGCAAGTGCAAACCAGTACAACCACTTTGGAAAGTGATTTGGCAACTTCACATACAGTTAAACATACAGTTAGCCCACAACCAATAAATCCACTCCTAGGCATTTGCCCAAGAGAAGTGAAAATATGTGTTCACAAAAAGACTAGAACATGAATATTCACAGCAACTTTATTCATTATAGTCCCCAAATAGAAACAATTCAAATTGTCCATCAACAGATGGGTAAAGAAGCCAGTTACAAAATATTCATACAACAGAATACTATGAGGCAACAAGAAGGCACAAGCTACCAATATATGCAACAACATGGTGAGTCTCCAAAACACTGCATTGAGTAAAAAAAGTTGGACACAAGAATACAATTGGTGTATGATTCCATTGGTATGAAATATGAGAAGAGGCAAAAGTAACCTATAGATGAGAACAGTGATGATCTCTGAGGGGGCGAGGTGGAGGGGTACAGGAGGGAACATTCTGTGGTGATGGAAATACTTTGGGGTGGTGTTTAAACAAGGATATACATTATATCCCCATGACATAGGAGCTTATCAAAATTCATCAAACTGTACACATAAAATTGGTGCATTCTATAGTAGGCAAATTATAGCTAATAAAAAATAAGAAAGCATAGTGGGGGAAAAACCAGCTCAAAGGTCAGTTCATAGCATGTGCTTCTAGGGAGAGGAAGAAAGATCGGGAACGCTGTTTTGGGAAGTGACTTTTTATTTTATATACTTTATACTGTCAGGATTTTATAGCATTTTAAAGACTAGATTTCAGGAAAAAAAAAGGGCTGTTGAGAAAAACAAGGCTATGGATTTGAGGCTGGATGAAAAACAGAGAACAGACTGTACAGCAAAAGTCATGAAACATTCTAAGCAAAGGGGACCTTATACTCACAAGACAAAAATAATGCACGCTGAGATTGTCTTTCTGAAGAAATTCCCCCAGTTTTTCAGGATCCCCAGGTTCTCGAAGGCATAGCCGGCAAACTGGAGGAAAGAATGTTAAGAATTCATTTTGGGAGCACAGGGAAAAGTCATATATTGGGAAGAGGACATTTTGACAAGGGTGAAGGTTGGAAAGAAGTATTGCATGGTATCAGTTAGGCCTTTATATAATTTCGGCCACATTTGAGGGAGTTGACAGCAACTGCTCATTTTATATACTTTTCTCTCAAGTGGCTTTAAATAACTTGCTTCTTGAACTTTAGATTAGCCATTTAAGAATCAACGACCCGGAGTTCTTCAGGATCTTAGAGAATCTGGGAAATAAGTAGGACGGACATTCAGAGAATCAAGTTTGCTGCCCTACATAGCTGGCCTTTGCTGAGGTCGGAATGCAGCGGTTGAACAGAACCTCCAGTCTTTCTTACCAGGCCCTGAAGATGGCTTCCTTTGGGTCACCCTCCTTGTCTTGGCAGATTTTCTATACAAGAGAAGGAAGAAGTACAAGGCGGTCTTTGAGGATCCTGTCAACACCCCTTGTAACATTTCCCTCAAAAATGCCTCCATGGGTCTGAGGAAGGACCAAAATAATAAAAGGCTAAAAAATCAGTTTCTTTTTTTATTGCATATTTTTTGAGAACACAAAATATAGCCACTAAGTTGTTTGAATTACGTGATATTGTAGTTATCTTTCTGTTCCCATTGGTTGTGCTGCCTGTGTAGACTGAATGAATGCAAGAGCAAACCTCCTTTTGCTCTTTTACTGTTTCTTCTGTCACCTGCTCTGAATCTCTGGTGGCACCATGTTCACAAAGCATAACGAAATACTAAAATTGAGTGTGAATTTCCTGTTGTGGAGCACTATTCTTGACTCTCCACACAGACTAGCTCAATGAATCTACAGAAGGCTCTAAAAAGTGGATGCTATTACTAAACACATTTTCCAGGTGAGGAAACCGAGGCTTAAAAAGAAATGAAGTAACCTGTCCCAGGTCACCTAGTGTCAGCAAGTGTTGGAACCCAGATATGAATCTAGCCCCTAGGGCTCCAGAGCCAGCACTTCGCTTTTAGGGACAGCTCTGGGGGTACAGGTCACCGGGGCTTCCAGGGGACCACTGGTGTATGCTTCCATGCTACCCAACCCCAGCCCCCCAAGACCACACAAAGGGGACAAAAAAATGCATGATATACCATGGGTCTTTGGACAATTTCTCCTAAACTTCTTTACGTCACCTACTCTACCTCAATCTTTGACGTTCCTTCTTCTTTTCTTTTATAGTCTTCATTCGCTGCTGCCTCTATCTCCTAACTTGAATTCTTCTATACTATTATGAGGACAATACAGGCTCTTCCAGCTATAAATATAAACAGGGCTTGGTCAGCAATTTAATTGTACATTTGGTTCCACAAGGTCAAAGTAACAGTGTACCTCGCCTCCCAGCCCATGTGACAGAATAAAAGGGAACCACCCAGTATCAACGCTAGTAGTAGCGAATAAACATGAAATTGTGTCAAAACTGTTCTAGGCATTTCACCTGTGTTAACTCACAAAAACTCTGTGCGGTAGGTACCACTGCTATGCCCATTTTCAAGATGAGGAGACTGAGGCACAAAGAGGGCACAGAGAGGCACTTGCCCAAGACCAGAGTTACTGTTATTACTCAGTAGAGTAAGAATCGGAACCACTGTCTGACCTAAATGGGTCTTTGTTTTTTTCATGCCTACTAAATGCACGAGGTGGCACTGAGGATAAAGACGCTCACTTTGCCTCCAAGTATAGGTGCCTTAATTCTACCCAGTAAAGGCTTGGAGAAGGTAGCTCTTTCCTAGCAAAAGAAGCCCCTGGGATTTTGGCTGCCTAAAGCAAGAACTCCCTCTAGTGGGAGACAGGAGGGAACACTGACAAATCACCCCTTAGCTCCTCTCCCTTGTCACCAGGCTCCGCTGGCCATTGAGGTTTGGTTGGCTCCCAACCTTGTCTAGATCTGAGCCAAGAGCACAATGTCCCAAAGTGGAGAGGACACCCACACCCCTCCTCCACCAATGTCAGCCCACCGCAAATTTAGTTTTCATTGGTTAATGGGGGAAATCCCTGAAAGGGAAGAGACCATTGAAAAAGACATACAATCCACTCCCATGAAGGGAGGACTGTGTCTAGTTAAGGGAGAGGGGGAAGGACAGCATTTCTTCGAAGGAGAGCCGAGTGAATCAGGTCACTCCAGGGTCAGACACACCAGCACCCATGTCCTCAGAGCACAGCTGGGAAGCGTGAACATCTGCAGGGGCTGTCAACTGTTCTCCTTCCACACAACTGTTAAGGCAACTAACTAGCTGTTCAGAAAACTAAGACTGGTTAGACAACCCCTCCTCTCTTTGTGATTGCTCCATCTCCTCTTCCGACCCATGAGTTGCACATACAGAAATCACGGCACCTGATGGCTTCTTATTCAACACAAGCAGTTGGCCAGGCTGGAAGAGGAGAGAGGAGGGCACGCACTAGGGGACCCGCTTTCGGAACTACTGAGCGGCTCTGGGTCGTTGGGGGTAAATCCCGGCCATCTAGCAATAGAAATAAAACCTTGAAACGTCAGTTCTTTGCATCGCTGGACCAAGACGTTCCTTGAGTGGGATTCTGTGCACACTGGTAGTTACGGGAAGACGCAAAAATCTTCAGAGCATTTGAGGAGGGACGTTGCAAATGCCGGCTTCCACAAGCAGCTCAGTCCGAGATTCCCTAACGGAGCGGATGCTCCCTTGGAACGGTTACCAAGCTGTTTCACTGGATGATGAGTGCTGGGTAAAGGCTTGTTGAAAAAAATTAAAAATAAACTAGCGTGTTCGGCCCCGCCGCCGCAAGAATAAACAGTGATTTATTTGGAAAATGTGTCGGTGTGGCCACAACCGTCCCCCGGAGGTAACAGCCAAAGAAGGGGCTCAAGGAGCATCCCGCGGATGCCAGACCAGGCTCATGTCGCGCCTGCAGGGCGGCTGGTGCGGGGCCGGGCCGGAGGTCGTCTCCGCCGCTCGCTCCTCACGGTAGCGCACAGGCCGCCGCTCCCGGCCGGGGCAGCCCGCCCAGCTGTCGCCGAGGGCGCCGCAGTCCGGAGCTTTATTCGTTGTCACAAGCCGTGGTAGCTACCTCACGGGCGGCCGCCCCGCGCGGTGACTGCGCCGGCGAAGGGGGCGAGCACGCAAACCGGGGCCGGGTCACGCGGACTGCGACCCAGGGAGACTGCGGCCGCGGGGACCACCGCGTCGCTGACCGTTGGTAGGGGAGGACCGCTAACGGCCGCGCGCTAACAGCCGCGCGCCCGCCCCGCCCCTTCCTCTCTCACAGCCGAGCCGGTCCCCGCCCCTGTCCCGCCCCCTCACCTCTTCCCGCCCCCGCCCCGCCCTGCCTTTTTCTCTCGGGCTGCCGGCGCCCAGCGCAGCCCTCGCCCCGCCCCTTCACCTCGCCCCGCCCCCCCACCTCGCCCCGCCCTCTCGCGCGTGCGCCCGGACCTCGAGAATCGATCCCGCGGAAGACAAGCCCAGAGGCGGGGCGGAGAACGTCGCGGTGTGGTGACGTAGTGTCGCGGGCGCGGGGGGTGACGTCAACTGTGCCCGTTGTGTGTGTGTGGGGCTAGGGGCCCCGGGGCGGCGGGGGCTCCCGGCGCGGGCGGCGGTGGGTCGGGAGGGCCTGGACATGGCGCTGAGGGGCCGCCCCGCGGGAAGATGAATAAGGGCTGGCTGGAGCTGGAGAGCGACCCTGGTGAGGAGGGTGCTGGGCGGGCCGGGGGCTGGGGAGGCCGGTTGGGCCCGAAACGCGTCTGTCTGACCACTACCTGCTCCTCTTGTCGCCCGACCCAGGCCTCTTCACCCTCCTGGTGGAAGACTTCGGTAAGAGCCTCTCCTACCCACTGGACCCGGGCTGTGGGGGTCCACTCCTGTGCCCCCGCTGCACAGCCTGGGGCTGCCCTTTCCGACTTCTTTCTTTCCCTGATCGCAGGTGTCAAAGGGGTGCAGGTGGAGGAGATCTATGACCTTCAGAGCAAATGTCAGGGGTGAGTGGCTTGGTGCCAGGGCCTTCCCTTACACCCCGAGGGCAAGAGAAGGGCCAGGGGAGGAGTGCCCCTCAAGGGAGGTAGTGTAAGAATCCCAAGTTATAAAATCTCATACATGGAAGCACCCCTGATCTTTGGGTGCCCTCCTGATCAAGCTGATATTTTTTTCTCCCAGTCTTCCTTCACACTTCCCTTTATGTAGCAGTCCCCTTCCCCCTCTACAGATCTATCCTTTGGAGTACAGTTCAGCGGCTTTTTCTGGTCTTGTTGCAGAAAAGCAGCCCCTTCTCTTGACCCAAGTCACACAGTGCCTGCTGTAGTTTATTAATTACTGCTTTCATGTACCCGTGTGCCGGTGGCTTTAATCCCTTCACAAAGATCTTGTATTGATTGGTTGGTATGTGGCATCTGACAAGGCCCCTCCAGGGTGACCAACCTCAGAGCCTTGTCTTGGTTGTCCTGCAGACTAGAGGTGTGGAGTGCCCCTCTATAGAGACTACAGTGCATGAACCGAGAGATCCGTTTTTATATTTCAGGAAAGCATGGACTGTTAAGGTGTTCATTTGCTTTTTTCACTGCACTGGGGCCCAAGCCTTGGTGTTCACAGTGAGAATTAGTGTTTAAATTCCTCGATCAGAGTTTTTTTTTCTTGCCTTACCTTCTGTTCCTACCTTGTTCTGGGCCATGGGTCCAGCTTTTCATTTCTTATCCCAGAAGCTGATGCTTGACTGTACCTGCAGCAGGCTTCTGGATGTGAAGGCTCAGAGCCAGTTTAGGCATTGTTGGAAAGAAGCCAGGGTAGAGGTGGGATCACGGGGAGGGCACCTGAGTGATAACACAGTGCGTGGGAATAGGCAGGAAAAGAAAAGGGATGCTGATTGCCTTTCCCCACTTGGCTGGTCTAGCTTTGCCCCTTAACTTTCCCCAGCCCAGTGTATGGATTCATCTTCCTGTTCAAATGGATCGAAGAACGCCGATCCCGTCGCAAGGTGTCTACCTTGGTGGATGATACGTCTGTGATTGATGATGATATTGTGAACAACATGTTCTTTGCCCATCAGGTCTGCTGGGCTCTGTGTTCCATCTGGAGGGTGGGATGCTGCCACTGTCTTTGTTGGGAAGTGGAAGTGGGGGAAGGCAGGAGGAAGAGATAGGCAGATACCATGAGTAGCGGTTAGAGAAGTCCCCTGGCAGAAGGAACTGAGCTCTGAGTTCATTACAAAAGGGAGTATCTTTAGAGCAGGCTGGTGCTGAGTCCACTCTGCATGTCCCCAGACATTTTGGGGGGCATTTAGTTGAATGAACAAATAATGGGTGGAGAGGAGGGAAGCTGATGAGTTTTCTTGTCCAGATAGGACTGTCCCTTTCTGGGTCCTCATTCTATAGGAGTTTGGCTTAGGTGAGGCATGCTGTGTATGAGTGACTGTTCTTGGGTTTTACAGTTGATCCCCAACTCTTGTGCCACTCATGCCCTGCTGAGCGTGCTCCTGAACTGCAGCAACGTGGACCTGGGGCCCACCCTGAGTCGCATGAAGGACTTCACCAAAGGCTTCAGCCCTGAGGTAGGCCGCAGCAGCACCTCAATCCTGGCTCACAGCTTGCTGCTAAGATTTGACTCCCAGGCCCACATACCATATGCCATTTGATACTGTGAGGCCATTTTCTTTCAAATGATTTACCTTATGTTTGACCCTCAGATTTTAGGTTCAATTGTCAGGAAAGACCTAAGGAGGAAATGAACATTCCTTAAGTGACACTATGTTACAAATTTCTTTGTCAGTCTGTATCAGGCCACATTGTTTTCCAGTGTCCACTCATTACCGTGCAAGATGAACCCCATCCTTCTGGGGCTCTGGAGTTCTTTTCTGTCCCCACTAACCTTTCAGCAAAATCGATCTATGCTGCTACAGGTTTCTGGAATGCCTCCAGGCCTGTTGTCCAGAGCTTTGCTTCCCACCCAGAGGCCCACCTGAGAAGTTGTTTTAATGTGTTATTTCCTTCTCTCTAGAGCAAAGGATATGCAATTGGCAATGCCCCAGAGTTGGCCAAGGCACATAATAGCCATGCCAGGTGTGTGGGAGCTATGGGAGCTGGTGGGAGTGGCAGGGGGAGGAAGGGTTGTCCCATTCTGGGCCCTGAGCATGTCCTTCCCTAGGCCTGAGCCACGCCACCTCCCTGAGAAGCAGAATGGCCTTAGTGCTGTGCGGACGATGGAGGCGTTCCACTTTGTCAGCTATGTGCCTATCACAGGCCGGCTTTTCGAGCTGGATGGGCTGAAGGTCTACCCCATTGATCATGGTAGGGACCCACTGGGTTTTTCTGCTTACCTTCTAGGGAGCTGGGGTTCAGGGTCCCCAGGTGCTTGGGACCCACTGGCAGGGGGATGGTGTTGAGGGCATCCGTCTCTGGCTGGATGGCACCCTGCACTGCACTACCTGACCACCCCAGACTCCCTGACTCAACTGCTGTCCATCTTCCTTTCCATTCCTGGCCTGTCCAAACTCAGGGCTTCCCCCCTGCTGACTCCTCATGTTGGTCTTCCTTAGGGCCCTGGGGAGAGGATGAGGAGTGGACCGACAAGGCCCGACGGGTCATCATGGAGCGAATCGGCCTCGCCACTGCAGGGTAAGGGCTCTGTGCTTGTCCTTCCCTTTGGAGCTCTGCCTCCATTGGGAGAGACACAGAAAAGGGAAAGCAGTGAGGTCAGATGACTCATGCAAGGCCACATGAGGAATCTGGCCAGGTCCAGTTTAGATCTTGGGCTTCTAACTCCTTGCCATGTTTCTCACCCAGGCTGCTTATGGCCTGCTTTGGGACAGACTGGGCAGGGGCACGCCTTGGTGGAGCCCTAGGTGGCCCAGACATGCTGGCTCACTTCCTGATAGGCCCTGTGCAGGTCGTGGGCAGTCCCCAGCTTAGCTCCTGACCAGCGAGCTCCTAGCTAGCTGCTGCCCGCCTGCTGGGGTGGGGCCTGCACCTATGGCTATAGCTGTGACTCGGAGCCCTGCCACATTGTTTATCTCAACCCAGTGGTGGTGCTGGGGCGAGAGCTGTTCTCATGGTTGTGGCTGTGACTGCAGGGAACCCTACCATGACATCCGCTTCAACCTGATGGCGGTGGTGCCCGACCGCAGGATCAAGTATGAGGCCAGGCTGCATGTGCTGAAGGTGAACCGTCAGACAGTACTGGAGGCCCTGCAGCAGGTGGGGACCCCTCCTGCCATCCCTCTTCCTCTCACTGGGGTGTGGTGTCTGATTCCCAGATCACTCTTTATTACGGATCTGTTGAGCTTCACCTGACCATTCCTTTCCTTTGCTTTCCTTGTGGGAAAGCTGGGACCTGGGATGGGGAGGGGGAATAGCTTCTAGAAAGAGGTTTGGGTTCAGCTGTTGTATTTCCTTGTGAGCGAGTGGGTAGAACCAAGGACCTTTGCTGTCCAGGCGAGTGGCTGGGGTCTGCTTTCACTCCTCTGAGCCTTGGATTCTCTTTTTAGCTGATTAGGGTAACACAGCCCGAGCTGATTCAGACCCACAAGTCTCAAGAGCCACAACTGCCTGAGGAGTCCAAACCAGCCAGCAGCAAGTCCCCCCTGGCGCTGGAGGCAGGCAGGGCCGCAGCAGCCTCCGAGGGCACTCACACAGGTACCCTTGGCCTCAGAGCCACCCCATCATAGCTTGAGCTGAGAGGCCCAGAGCAAGTCTTTTTGTCGGATGCACTTGGGCAGAGGTTCAAAGGCTCCTATGGGACGCCTAAGGCCGAGTGTCTGCAGCCCTTTATTCTTGGAATGTGGAGAGCAGTCATCACCTAAAGAAAGGTACCTGTGAAGGGCTGACATTACCACAGTTCCTGATCCTTCTTTATAATAAATATTCCCTTTCTGGTTTTCTTAAGAGGCCTTTTTTTTTTTTTTTCTCCCTCCCTTTTTCCATCTCATCCTTCATCTTGCTGTGGGCCCATGACCTAGAGCTTGCAGACTCTCATCCTGTTAGCTAGCGTACCTGTTCTTCTCTGGCAAGAGAGGAGGGAGCAGCGCTATATCTGGGGAGTTGGTGGGCGGGGGACTTGTTTTCTTGAGGATCTGCCTGAAGGTCCTGCCTTTGCTCCTTGTCCTCTCAGATGCTGTGGAGGAGGTGGCTGGTTCGTGCCCCCAAGCCCCAACCCATAGCCCTCCCAGCAAACCCAAGCTGGTGGTGAAGCCTCCCGGGAGCAGCCTCAACGGGGTTCCTCCCAACCCCACTCCCATTGTTCAGCGGCTGCCAGCCTTTCTGGACAATCACAACTATGCCAAGTCCCCCATGCAGGTGAGCTGGGAGCACCCTTGGCCAAGCCCCTCCAATGTTCTTGAGAGGCTGCAACAAGCAGTTTCCTTAGGTGGTTCCTTGGTGTTCACCCCATACCAAGGCCTCAATAGCCAAGTCTCTGCTACCCAGAAGCCGCCCCCCCCGCCCTGCCAGGGACTTAGAGAGGGAGACAACTCTGACTTTCAGTCCACTCACACAGCAGTGGGGCAAGATGTTTAGGGCATGTGCCTGGTACCACTTGAGGAGTTTGGTCTTGCTGGCAAAAGAAAGGCACGTGTTTCAGGGTGCTCTGTTTGTCTTAGACGTCTCGCATAGGCAGGTCATGTGGGTGGGCAGCAGCCTCCCTGGGAATCAAGGGTGGGCTCAGAACACCTGGGGCTCGGTGGACTCTGACCTGGAGAACCGTGTTGGCTTTCGGCTGTGACTGCTGTGTCCAGCCCGGGCTGACTGGTTGCTGCTTATGGCCGCCCTCGGTCTCTGCCCCAGGAGGAGGAAGACCTGGCAGCAGGCGTGGGCCGCAGCCGAGTTCCAGTCCGCCCCCCGCAGCAGTACTCGGATGATGAGGACGACTATGAGGATGATGAGGACGACGACGTGCAGAATGCCAACCCCGCCATCAGGTCAGCCTCAGCTCTGGAAGGCTAGAGGCTTGGTTGCTGCAGGTCCTACCTTGACTCTTCCAGTCCATGTCTGAGGTTGCCCTTTAGCATATACTATGGAGTGCCTGCCGAGCTCAGGGTCCATGGGAGGCTGGCATGCAGGGCTGACTCCAGGTCCTGGGTCCCCAAGGCTTCATAGGGCTTGAGGGAGTGTTAACATTTAACCAGATAACAAGGCCTGTCCTGTTGGAAGGCCTTTCAGCTAGACCTCGAAGGATTGGATGAAGCAGGGATGGAGGAGATGGGGTGGGGTGCGGCTCTGTCAGAAGACCTGGCATTGGCAGAAGGCCAGAGTGAGGCAGCCGGAATAGAGGTATCCTTTGAGAACACGTGGCTGTGGCTTTTGAGGCTTAGGGTGCCAGGCTCAGCATGGCCAGGTCAGGCTGCTGGACCCAGTGTGAGGAGTTGCAGTGTCCGTCCCTGGAGGCCAGGACGTGTCCAGGGCTATTCTGGCAGTGCTGGGCAGGGTCACCTGGCCCCTTCCTGTGGCTCACCTTTCCTTGGGCCTCCCCAGGTATAAGCGAAAGGGGCCAGGCAAGCCAGGGCCACTGAGTGGCTCTGGGGACGGGCAGCTGTCGGTGCTGCAGCCCAACACCATCAATGTCCTGGCCGAGAAGCTCAAAGAGTCCCAGAAAGACCTCTCGATTCCTCTGTCCATCAAGACAAACAGTGGGGCGGCCAGCCCGGCCGTGGCGGTCCCCACGCACTCGCAGCCCTCACCCACCCCCAGCAATGAGAGCACGGACACAGCCTCTGAGATCGGCAGTGCTTTCAACTCGCCGCTGCGGTCGCCCATTCGCTCAGCCAACCCGACGCGGCCCTCCAGCCCTGTCACCTCCCACATCTCCAAGGTGCTTTTCGGAGAGGACGACAGTCTGCTGCGTGTTGACTGTATCCGCTACAATCGCGCTGTACGTGACCTGGGTCCCGTCATCAGCACGGGCCTGCTGCACCTCGCTGAGGACGGGGTGCTGAGTCCCCTGGCACTGACAGGTGCGCCTGCGACTGGCTCACTAGCCTCTTGGTGTACTGAGGAGGGGGGTGGCCAAGTAACCACCAGGTGTTCTGCTCTCTGAGGGGTCCTCTTGTGCCTTCTCTTCCCAGAGGGTGGGAAGGGTTCCTCGCCCGGCAGCAGGCCGAGCCCAGGCAGCCAGGGCTCCAGCAGCCCTGAAGAGAAGGAGGTCGCAGAACCTGCAGACAGCAGAGAGAAGCCTGGGTTGGCCAGGTCTGGCGAGCCCTTGAGTGGGGAGAAGTACTCACCCAAGGTGAGTCCCTTTGCAGCTTTATCTTCTAATCTTGCCAGAGGGAAGGTCTTGAGGCACTGCTGCCCAAGTGCTGGGGCCTCAGGAGTGCTGGTGTAAAGGCTGGTGGCGGAAGCCGGGCTCCAGGAAGCCTGTTTGGGTTGAGGAGCCGCCGGGGCCTTGCTGGGGTTTGGACTCTGGCTGCTCCTCCTTGTCTCCAGCTGCCTCTTGGTGGGTGGGTGGGGGGGGGATACTTGGATGCTGGCCGGCCCCCCTCAGGGGTACGTTGCGGGATTTTGGCAGGAGCTGCTGGCACTGCTGAAGTGTGTGGAGGCAGAGATTGCAAACTATGAAGCCTGCCTCAAGGAAGAGGTGGAGAAGAGGAAGAAGTTCAAGGTGGGTCATCTCCAGCAGCTGGTCCTCTGCCCATCTTCCCAGACGTGCGATCTCCCGAGGTCAGCTGGTGGCTGCTCCTGGGAGATGGGCTGCAGTGCTCTCATCCTTCTCTCCCACAGATTGACGACCAGAGAAGGACCCACAACTATGACGAGTTCATCTGTACCTTCATCTCCATGCTAGCCCAGGAAGGTGAGGGGACTTACTGCCGCAGCTGACCTGGCATGCCCTGCTTGGGGCCATGTCCCTCAGGCCTCTTTTGGGTCTTGAGCAGACCTACGGCAGGGTGGCAGGGGTGCAGGGAGGGCTGGGAAAGCCTCAGCTCCTAGCCTGAGGTGCATGGAGTGGGTGGCTGCCGTGCATCCGGCCACCTGTTCAAGCACCTTGGCCCTTTGTAGGCATGCTGGCCAACCTGGTGGAGCAGAACATCTCGGTGCGGCGGCGCCAAGGGGTCAGCATCGGCCGGCTCCACAAGCAGCGGAAGCCCGACCGGCGGAAACGCTCACGCCCTTACAAGGCCAAGCGCCAGTGAGGACTGCTGGCCCGCACCTTGCAGCCGCTATTGCCGCGTGGCCCTCCCAGGGGCCCCTTCCCTGCCCCACTCCCCGTCTTCCCAGTATTACTGAATAGTTCCAGCCGGAGAGCCTGGCCCCTGGGCATGAGTGCCAGGCCGGACTTCCTGCGTTACACCCCCGGGCCTGGCGGGGCAGGGCCTCCCCGTGGTGCTCTGGAAACAGCAGCTGGAGCTGGAGCTGGGGCACAGGGAGGTGCTGCAGCTTCCTCCACAGCCGGCTGTGGAGTGGCAGGACCTGGCCTTCCTGCCTCAGCAGCAGAGTATATATTTTACCTACAGAGACGTCTATTTTTCTGGGCTCTAACCCATCTTGCCACCACTGTGTTGACATAGCCAGCAGTTGTCATCCTGGTGGACCCAGGTCCCCGCATCATGCTGGAGTCCTGACTGCAGGGTCCCAGCTGGGGGCATGGGTGGGCATTGGGCCCTGCGGCTCTAGCCCCAGCCACCAGCCGTCCCTGTCGTGAGGAAGCCAGGTCTGTTCTTCCTCCCGGGAGAGCTCCAAACTCAGGGACCCGGCTTCTGGGCTGGTTTGGGAGTGGGGTGTCCTCGTAGGGGGGGAATGAGCAGCCCGCTGGGGTCCCGTGGCCTGAGTAGAGAGAAGTGTTCAAGCTGTTTACTGGCCTGTAAACTCCCTTCCTGGCTTTGCTTGTCAAGACTGGTCTCTGCAGCAAGGCTCTGGGGCTCTTTGCCTTCAGTGTTGTAGCCCTGGCAATGGGCCGGCCTTGGGCTCCTGGGCTCTGTCCCTGGAGCCTGGGATTCAGAGGAGCCCCTGCCCAGCCCCTCAGTATTACCACGTCTCCCTCCTCTTAGGGATAGCAGAGACAGGGCTGCTCGCAGGAAGCGGACGCCCTCGGCTCTCCGTGCCATGCCAGCTTCTTCAGCCTCTGCGAGACATTCAGTGGGGGACAGCAGGACTAAGGCACCCAGTTGGAGCCCCGGTGTTCCCAGAGGGCCTAATGCCAAGGGGCAATGGGCCCAGCACTGTCTCTGGAGCTCAGGCTCCAAAGAGAGCCCCATGGCCGCTGCCAGATGGCTTGGAAGGTGATCAAAGCAGGCCCCTTATCTGTACATAGTGACTGGGGCAGGGGATGGCTGGCCAGTGTCGCAGCCACCTCTCTGTGCTGAGCACAGCCTGACTTCTCCGGTCCCTGTAAATATTGGATCAATGAATGAATAAAACTCTCCTAAGAAATGAACTCTCCTGTGGTTGCTGGCCTAAGATTTATAGGTTAGGTTGTGGTGACAGGGAGGACCTAACCAAACCTGGGCCGAAGGGCCTGTGACCAGAGGGGTGAGAGGTATATATTCTCAGGTGTCCGTCCTTCTGGGGCAGATATTCTTAGGACCGTAGACCCAGGATTTAGAACCTGAGCCGAGACGGGGCTTTGGGTGGGCTGTAGAATCTGAAGAGGACACTTTGGGAGGACAGAGCCATGGCTTTCATCCAGTTCTGATGGCCATGCCACCTGAGCAGAGGTGGGGGCTCTGGGCTGAGGAGGCAAGGTGGCCTCTGGTCTCAACCAGCACGCTGTCCCTGGAGGGGCCCCCTTGGAGGGCACAGCTCTACCCTTGTTCCATTTGGACAGGTCCAGCAGGCCAAAGCTGTCCCTCTGCCCCGTCCCCGCTGCTAAGCACATTCACTCCTGAGGCTGCCGCACCACTGCCCCGGCAGTGAACCCTGTGGACAGGCACTGACACAAGCAGCAGAAGCCCCGCTGGACTACTTAGAAAACGTATTTAATGGCCCCAACTCTTCTTCCTGAGTCTAGTAGTCCAGGGCACAGATGAGCGCCACACCACGCTTTATCCAGTGTCGCTGGGGCTGATGGGAGGGGAGCTCCACAGCAATGATGTAGTTGGTTGAGTGGCCTGTGGTCGATAGTGTTCCTGGAGCAGGCAAGAAGGGAGGGTTAAGTTGTCTTCACAAGAGCAGGGACAGGGTAGGGACAGGATAAAGGCAATGGACTCAGCAGACTGAGCTGGGAGCAAGCAGGGGCCCTGAGCTGGGAGCAAGCAGGGGCCCTGAGCCGAGAGGAAACCTGCCTGGTGAATGGGTCTTGCCAAGGCTCAGGCCTGCCCAGGGTTATTACACTGACGACTGAGGACAGGAATGGGAGAGTTGGGGGCCACTGCTCACTCCCTGTTGGACCCAGCCCAGGCCCACCTCCCATCCAAGTCTGTTACCCCCAGGAAACTTCATTAGCAGACGGGGGCTCCCAAGACCCAGGTGGGTCTGCTGAGGGAGGCAAGAGGATGGGGAGCTCACAGGCCACTTCGCACAGACTGAGCCCAAGCTCTGGGCATTGCCCTCTGTGCCTGCTGGTGATCTAGCTCTGTCCTGGCCCGGTCACTCTCAGGAGGGCTGACTGGCCTGTCAGCCATCCTATTCAGCTAACCTGGGCCCCCACCTGTGGTGCAGGTTCCCCACCCTGGGCCCATACCTGCTCGGGTCAGTGTCTTGTAGATGGGACACAGGTAGAAGTCCTGGTTCTGGATCTTACGGTTGTGTGTTGGCAGAAGCCAGATAACAGCCATCTCTGTATATAGCTCCTTGGGCCGAGACTCAGCCAGCTGGAAGGCCACAGGGTCCCAGCGGGCACCTTCCAGGAACAGTCCATGGATGTAGCACCCCTCACTGGGTCTTTTCTTGAGCTCCGACACAGACTGCTGCAGTACCTGTGGTGGGCACACAGATATGCCCCTGCACATGTAAACACCTGGGATCTGGGTTAGGATTTGGGTCAGGAGGCACAAACTCCCTCCTGAATTCTGCCCACTTGCCCATTACTTACCCACCATTTTATTTTATTTTGTTTTGTTTTGTTTCTTTTTAAGATTTTTATTTATTTATTTGAGAAAGAGCAATAGAGAGAGCACAAACAGGGTGAGGGGCAGAGGGAGAGGAGAAGCAGACTACTAAGCAGGGAGTCCAACACAGGGCTTGATCCCAGGATCTTGGGACCATGACCTGAGCCAAAGGCAGACGCTTCACTGACTGAGCCACCCAGATGCCCCACTCACCCACCATTTTAGCTGGCCGCCTGCAGTCTGTGTCCTGCCCCTAGGGATTTCCTGGGGGCTCATAGCCTACTCTGGTTTGGCTCTCCCTGCCCCCTGAACCCCATTCAGGACCCCCATCTGGCACCCAGCTGTGGCCTCAGCACCCCTCCTATCTGGACCTGTAAATACTGGGGGCCTGACCCAGGCCATACCCCAGCCTGACCCTAGCCTGACCTTGGCTGTGTGCAAACCTGGAAATCAAACGAGATGGTGTCAATGGAGATGACAGACTTGCGAGCAAAGTTCTGCAGCGTGCCCGTCAGGAAGGCCTGGGGGAAGAAGAAGCCACTGATCCAGAAGACAGCTGGGATGCCGCCTTGGATCCAGGACTGCAGGAAGTCCAGGCGCTGCATCAGGTCCATGACCCAGGAGGACAGCGGCTTGAGCGATGGGTAGGCCTTAGCATTCCAGAGCTCGGGCACAGCGTTGTTGTACAGGCTGGTAGCCATCAACTCCAGCTGTGAGGACATCACCACCAGCCCCTTGAGAGCCTTGAGCAGGTCTCGAAGTGTCTCTGTGATCACCTGCAGCAGCCGGTTGTACCTGTGGGGCCAGCGGCAAGGAAGAAGGCAGCAGTCTGGGGGTGAGGGGAGTAGTACCCGTACTCCCCAGTTGTAGACCACAGACAGAAAAACAACGGCACGACATGGGGCTAAGAGCACAGAGCTGAGTCAGGCAGCCTGAGTACTGATCTCAGCTCTGCTCCTTAGCACACGTGTAACCTTAGGTCACTTGACCATTTGGGCCTTGGCTTCCTTGTCTGATGGGAGTGGGACAATAAATGTGGCTGCGCCCGAGCACAGACTTGATGTTGCACCTGGTCTGGAGGAGCCACTGCTGCCATTTCTCTATGATAATGACTCTCCGCACTAACTCAGGGCTGGGGGTGGATGGCAGGGGGATTACCGAATGACCTCCTGGACTAGCACCGTGTTCATCGACTCCTCATACAGCACGGGGTACTTGGCCATTACCAGCTGCAAGTTGATGGGCTCAGGAGTCTGGAGCAGAATACTGTGGGCCATATCCTCCACTATCTGTGGGAGCAAAGGGACACACACAGGGGGTCAGGGCCAGCACCCCTTACTTAATTTTTGCTGGATTCCACAGGCACTGGGTTCCTTCCCACAGGGGAGCAGGCAGGATAGTGGGTGGGAGACCGACCCTGCCCAACCCATGGCCCTCTGTCCCCTGCTGCCACCTACCTCCTCCCGGCCCTGGCCTCCTATGGAGGATGATCTGGGTTGCAGCTGGATGATGGCACTGAGCAGGGCGTAAGTCTCATTCTGGGCGAAGGTGATGTTGGCATTGTCGTGCAGGCCAAAGATCTCAGGCATGTCATTGAGAGGGAGGCCTTTGATGTAGGAGAGGTAGCCCTGGAGGGTAGGAGGGCCACAACTGAAACCTTGCTCTACCCCCAGCCTGTGGTCGGTGGGGGGGTCCCTCCAACAGGGCACAACTCCCGCTTGCCTCCAACTCTGGACAACCTCGTGCATCCCCCTCTTCTTAGGGCTACATGGCTTCTGAGGGGCTGTGTGGGTAGATGTCGCCTCCCTCCCAGCCCTCTTCCTGCTGTCATCCTGCTCCCTCATTCAACTGTTCCAGTCATGGGGGCTTCTCTCCTTCCAGTGAGGACCCACACTCCGACACCCACCCCAGCTCTGCAGGCCCCACAAACATCTTAGCTGAAGCACCATGTCCTCTGGGACCCTTGGAGGGGCTGCTCTGCCTCAACTGGATAATTACACTCAGCTCCCTCTGGCCTCTCCCCACAGAGCCCCAGCTCCTGGAGGCAGGGCCTGGGTCCGCCTCCCTCACTGTGGCTATGTTTGTGGGATGGAGTAATCCATGAAAAAGAGCCACTGAGAGGCCAGGACCATGCTTCCCCTCACCCAGCTCCCGGATGCTCGCAGCACCCCGGCAGCCCAGCCTGGCAGGCTGCCTGGGCCATGGGGGATGTGCTCACATTGAGGTCGTAGGTGGGCTGGATCTGGTGGTAGATGCCCGAGGCGCTGTAGCTGTGGTCGTGGAAGAGCACGGAGGGGCTGTAATAGTCTTCCAGGATGTTCATGATGCAGCGACGGTCCCAGTCATCGGTGACGCGGCCCCCGTAGTTGATCTCCCCAGCCGTGTACTTCAGGACCTACGGGGTGGGTGGGTGAGGGCCCCCCGCACACGCCCACCGGCCCGCCCCAGCCTGTCCCCAGCCCACCTTGTAGGGGATGTCGTCGTACTCGTCCAGGAACATCTTGAGCTGGCTGATACAGATGC